TATTTGATCTACTTTTAATTCTCATTTTTAATTTCGATTTATTAGCAGTTTTTTTTCTCCTGTTCTGACAACTGTACAGCATATTCTGATTCTGCCACATCCTTCCTCATCCTGCCCTGTTCCTGCTTCCCTTCCCCACTGTCATATCCTAGCTGATACCATCTTGATGAATAAATTATCAAGATTGTTCTACAAGAAATCTGTCATGGGGTGTCTGACCTCTGTTAAATCTGAGTTTTAGCTCTGAATCCCAGATCAGCCCTACACGAGCTGCTCTGATGGAAACGTGCAGAACAGGTGGCTGGCAGCTTCTTCTGAAGCCTTCCTCTCTTTGTTCTGCTTTCCCAGCCTTCTATAATTTATCACTTTTAGGACACAGTAAGTGACTTGGAAAAGGATGTTTTGCCCCAATTACAGCTTGATTGAAGTCAAGTTCTAACAGCTGTACTTGGAATATTCTAATACTACATATTAGGGAATAAACATGCATAGACACATGGAAAATGTGTGTGTTTTCCCTCCACCTTTATTCTTTCATAATTAATAAATGGTGGAAGTGTCAAATTATGATTATGACAATCACTTCTAGAGTTTAGTTCAGCCAGAGAAAGGTAGAACTGGAAGCCTCTGTCATAACATTCTCTGAATATTCTTTCAAATGTTCTAGATTAAGGAAAGGCATCTCTGCTGAGGGCTGTGGATTTTGGGGTGCTTTCAGGGAGGTCTGAGCCCTTGCAGGGTTGCCCCAAACCCGAGGCAGTCTCTGTTTAATAACTGAGAGAGGGATGGGCTGTTTGGAGACCCTCTCTATAGTCTGTGCTGGTGTCATTACGGTGTGCAAGACTGGGATTAATTAAACTCATTAGGTCCAGGTTAGTGCTGCCTGCACTAAGTGCATCTCCTCTCTGCTAATATATTCACTGCATATTTAGTTATATGCATAAAGGATTGCAATCAGCATCCTCTGCTTTATATTTGTGACTTTCTAAATGCAAGTGGGGCAAGCACAGTGATGTCCCCAGATGTGAAACATCCCGAGGAATTCTCAGACTCAAAGTGGACTCAAAAGTGGAATATAAAGGGCAAATCTTCACTTTTATTCTATAAAGGAAGAGTATTTTTATATGAGTGTTTTTATATATTTTATATATAAAATATATTTTCATTCATTGTCTATAAGGAATAAGTGAAAAACTGATAACTAAGTGATTTCCTAGACTGAGGAAGGGCTGAACAGCAAAGAATTCTTGCCGATTTTCATTTGCTTTAAAAACTGTTCTTTAGACTCTCCGTGTAGCTGTAGTTTATGAATTTATTTCATATGGGAGGCCCTGCAGGTGTCCCAGAAGGTGTTTGGGGCACTCAGGTGCTGCAGTACCAGACACAAAATCTGGGTGCACCAATGGGCTGAGGCAGAACCATGCAAGGCTTGGTTTATGAGCATCCCAATTCCCACACCCAACAGCTCTCCTTTATTCCCATTATTGGATCACTGTCTTATCCTTTATGAGGTCTCTTTCTGCCTTTTCTGGGGCTTTCATAGATGTGCTTTTATTACAGGAACATTTAGAATTTAATTTCTGGTAATTGTGCCTCCATATTAACTGCATATACTTTATGTACATGAATAAGTCTCATTATGCCTATATCTTTTCCCAGGAGAATTATCCAAGAGACAATATTCACCATGCTCAACTAGGCAAAGCAAACTGATCATTTCTGTGCCAGCAATTTTGAAAAAATACAAATCCACCAGCCGAAAATCCAGTCTTGAGAAAGCAAATATTTTAAAAGCAGTTTCACCCAGCTTTCTTGGAGGCATTATTCTCCTGATATATCTGATATATGTCCTGATATACAGAGAAAAATCAGTTTCATCTCAATAAAGTGTAGAGGAATGTGGGGTTTGTGTGCACAGGTCTGAGATCCAGGGAGAGAAAAGCAGACAGCTAATTCTGAGTTTGAACAAGGGTTTTTCTGTGTGTTGAAAGATTGTGTGACCGCAAAGGGAATAATTTACAACAAACTTTGGAGGCTTTTGAAAGAAAAGGATGTATTTTGGGGAGCTGGGAAGAGAAATCTCTGTATTTTATCAGAATGTATTCAAGCCTGAAGAATGACATTTTATACAGTACAAAGCTCTGAGGTTCAGAACTCAGCTCTGGGAGAGTTTGGTGCAGATATGCAAAATTTGGCATTTTGCATAGGGGGACAGGAGAACACTGAAAGCAGGGACACGAGGGGTTTGTTCTAGTTATTAACTGCAGCTTGATTAGATAAGAAGGGAAATGCAGATTATGGTGGAAGCGTGGTGTGACATAATGCAAAAATGCCTGTAGTGGTGCAGCCCTACAAAACTGAGCAGAAGAGTTCCCCAGTTCATCAGTATTTGCATGCAAAGGCAGGAAACCACCAGTTAATCTTTAAAGGCATATATCAGTGACTTCCACAGCCAAGCAGTGGATGGATTTGCAGGAGCCTCACAAAGAATACCAAAGAAAATAGGAATTACAGTAGGAAGATCATGACTTTTAGCATGCTTTAAACCAGATTGTGCAGTCCTGCAACACCCAGGGCGAAAGAGAAAACAGCTGGGAGGTGGAGGAGCAGCAGATTCTGCAGAGTGAAGGCTATTAGAGGTTTAATTGCTGCCAGCACAGCCCCTGCTGGGGTGGCACCGGTGTCACCTGTGTGCTGTGGCACGCTCAGGGGTGCTCAGCTGCAGCACCTGCCAGCAGCAGGAGGTTTCTGGGGCTGGAGGATGCTCTTTCCAAGCTCTGTGTCAGAATTGAGTCCACAACTCTCCATCATTCCACATCCTGTAGGTTTTTTCTCCCCCCCCACTTCCAATGCTTCAGGATTTTTAAGTTCTCTGCTCGTATTTGCTCACACCAAGAGGCTTTGCAGAAAATTTTCATTTAATTTTCCTTAAGTGTGTGCAGTCTAAACCGGCAACACTAGAACAGAGCTCTCCTCCTTTCTCAAACCCCTCTGTGACCTCACAGGACCTCTGAGATCCCTGAGGAGCTCCGGGGGCGTTTTTCTCACCTGGACAAAAAGTCTCAGTGCAGGTTTTGTGGGTTGGCTCTCAGGAAAGGTTCCAGCACTGGCACAGTGGGGTCTCCATCCCTGCAGATGCTCAGGGGTGCTCAGATGTGCTGCTCAGGGTCAGGGTCAGGCATTGGCTGTGTGAGTTCACAGCTGGGCTCCAAAATCTTACAGGCCTTTCCCACCTTTAACCATTCCACGATTCAGCAGCTCCTGCTGCAGCTTTTCCCACCTCTGAGCATCCACTGAGTCCCCCTGTGGCTGCACAATAATCAGCAGCACTCATCAGTAGCTTTACTTAAAGTCAGCAATTACTAAAAAAACTCAGATCAGTCATTTATTTTGTCTTCATTTAAAGAGAGGCATGAAGAATCCAGCAGCTGCTCTGTTTATTACTCAAAACCTTATTTCTAGTAGTACAGTATACAGTATATAGTATAGTATACAGTATATAGCATATATATATGTATTATATTTATGTATTATATATATATATTATATATATATGTACTATAGTATATATAGACTATAGTATACAGTATATAGTATATATATTCCAGTATATATAGTATAGTATACAGTATTAGCATATATATACTATATATACACACTATAGTATATATATACTATAGTATACAGTATATAGTATACAAAACCTTATTTCTAACATTTCATGCAACCCTTTGTGACCTTGTTTTTTCTTTTAAAAATATGAAAATGAGAAACTTTTTTAAAATTCTGCTCCGAACATAAATGGATTGGCTCATGTTCCATTTCTTCTCTCTTCTTTTGATAATTTCATAGTCCTAGGGAATCTAAAGTTCTGGAAATTGCTCTGTGCCAGTTATGCCCTGCTGGTACCGAGGGAGGGAGGAGAACCTCCCTCATTTTTTGGATCAACACAAAGAACTCTGGGAATTAATTCCAAAGGTTTTCTCCCTTTTGCAGGGAAACAAAGAGAATGAGTTTCCCTGACATTCCAACACGATTCTGGGCTGCTTGGTTGTTTATTTACCACTCCACTATACAGCAGTTACAGTGATATTTTCCATCTGCCCAAAGTGTTTTAGGGAGAGAGACAGCAAGTGAATCCAATACTTACTCCCAAGGCACAAATCGATTTTAACTAGAACCAATGCATTTTATATTCCTTTGCAGCTCGGGGCTGACTTGGTATTCATGGTGCTTTTCCTCATGGAATCCTTGTGGGGAGTTTCATTTGCCAAGTGGCACACCCAGGAAGAAAGGCCCAGAGCCCTTCTCCCTCCTGCAAAAAGCAAATTCATTTTCCTTAGCATTCTGTCTTTCATCATCTGGGAAACCTGATGCTAGTGAAATTCTCTTCTGATGTCCAGTGCAGTTTGGAACAAATCTGTGGCTTGTTTGAAAGGCAGCTGCAGTTTGTGTATAACCAGCAAACATCTGCAGTAATTCAAAAGGAAAAGGTGAACCAGTAGCAGCAGGGAGAATGGTCAGAGACAATCAGGTGCAGCAGATGTAAATGCTGTCACAAGCAAGGGAGCCAGGCTGCCTTAGGAGGCCCAGAAGTGTCCAGGAGAAACAGAGTTTGTTGCCTGTCCTGCCACACAGAACTCTTAGAGGACTGCAAAAACTACAGGAGAAAGTCAAATGACAATGCTCAGTTCCAGCTTGGTAGAAAATGTTTGGTTTCACTAAGTTCTAATCTAATGGATTTACTAAATTCTAATCTAATGATTTACTAATTGCTGAGTGTAGGTTCAATTTTCCATGGTATCCACTCAGTGAACATTGATGAACACTAATTGTCCTTGTGCTGATAACGTGCCCCTCCTAAAATCAGAATTTGGCACCCTTGCTGTAGAAAGAGAACTATTCACACACACACACAGATGCCTGCAATGTGCATTTTGTTCTTTTGTCCAAGCACATCACCCCCCAGATATCAGGCTTTTAATTGCTTTTGCATTTTCAGAGCAGCAGATGAAATCCTTGCTGAGACTGAATCTGCTTGGGAAGGCCTGCTTATTTTGGGTTGGACTTTCTTCCTTGGAGGTACAGTGGGTTTTTAGTGCAGTTAAGTGACTTTCCCTAAGGTGTGAGGGTTGGCAGGGAGAAGAAATAAAAACTTGAGGCTTTTGTGGCAGGGGGGAGAATCCCTGGCAGGTCAGGGTGTCCCCAGCAGGCTGTGTCCTCTCCCTGCTGCTCCCACGCAGCAGCAAACAAATCTGTTGTGTGTGAATGCACAGCACAACAGGCTGGCAAGCAGTGAGCAACCACAACACATTTCTGACAAAATCCCTCTGTCAGCTCAGCAGCAAATCTGAGCACCAGGAGCTTCACTAGGACGGGGATAACAAAGAAAAGAAAATGCTGATTTCGTGATGCTGCCGTGAGCTGAAGGAAAATAATTGATATGCTGAGCAGGAAATGATGTCAATTTACCTTCTCTTCCACTGTCCTCCTTTGAAGCTTCCTTTTCTCTGTCTCTCTTAACTCTATCTCACATAATTTTTCTCATTTTATTCATGTTCTGATGATCTTTCTTCAAGACCAGTTTTTTGTATGCACAGTCATACCCACTCTTCCCATATACATCAAGATGCCACTTTTATTCCTCTTATTAATTATTCTTCTCTGTTCTGGCTTTAAATTTTAAACACCAAAAGATTTTGGAAGTCTCAAAAATCTTACTGCTTAATAGTTCATATTTAACTCATGTTAAACTGCTTTTATCTTGCAAATGTCAGTTCTTCTGACTGGTTTATCTCCCTTTAGACTTCATGATCAGTTTGTTAATCGTGAAGTAGAGAACTGCAAATGTTTAGAAATATATTTCAAGTACAAATGAAAATTCACATGGCTGGAAGGTATTAATAAAGAACAAAGCTAGAACTTCTGGAAGATTCAGGTCACTCCTCTAATCCAAGAGTAAGATTTACATTAGGGCCTGAAAAGCAAATTCCACTACTGACTGACATTTCTTTTTCTTGGAAAACAAAGTTTTGGAAACCTTTAATTCCCCACTGAAATAAAAATGGAGCCACTTAATAGTTTTCAGAAAGGGGGAATGTTATTCTAAAGTTTATATTCGGTGTTTGCTTATGGGTCCCAGATTCCATATCAAAATATTTCATTCCACAGCACTTTGAATAAAGCAGAACAGGAATTTAAGTGCTGTCACAGACCAGTCTGGAAATGGGCCTGCAGCAGCTTTTGATTCAGAATTCCAGCCCAGGTCTTTGCTGGTGGTTTCACTGGCTTTTCTGAACAATTGCTGCGTTGTAGGTGATGGTTTTAGACCAGTGAACCAGATCCTGCCTGCCTTTCTCTTTAGTTTCACTGGGAGTTTATAAGCAAAACATCAGAGCTCAGAAAATGGCACACAATCCCACTTGAGCTAAAGGGAGAATTTGGGGTAGGTGGAATGCAATTATGAGGCTGGAATTCTGCCAGGCTGCAGGCAGGAGCTGTGAATCTGGCAGGGGGCTCCGAAAGGTCTCAAAGGTGTCCCCAAAGCAGAGGGAAAAGAGCATTGGGCTGAGAATTCCAGGAACACTGGGCTGAGAATTCCAGGAACACTGGGCTGAGAATTCCAGGAATATTAGGCTGAGAATTCCAGGAACATTGGGCTGAAAATTCCAGGTACATTGGGTTGAGAATTCCAGGAACATTGGGCTGAGAATTCCAGGTACATTGGGCTGGTTTAATCTGTGTGTTGAAATAGCATGTTATTTAAAATGTTTCTGTATTTTCCCCTTCCTTTTTAATTTTAAAATATTTTCCTGAATTTAAAATGAGTTCAGAGACTGTTAAGAACAGCAGTGATGCAGTGTTTGGCATTTTTTTTTGCCCAATACTACTTCAATAAAATGTTTTACAGATTAGATACATGTACAGGAAAAATAAATGACATTTCCTTAATCAGATTGTCAAAAATATGGTCAAAACTGAAACATAACCCCAAAATTCGGACATGCATGTAACAGAGATATTCTTTGGAACCAAAAAAACCCAAAAGATCAAAAAAGCCTATTTAATTCTTTAAGAAACTGTAATTAACTTTTGTAATAAATGTTCCTTCTAAATGGCTACACAGGGAAGCGTCTTCTGAGAATGGAATATGAAATAATCTTAAGGCAATTACAAAGAAGTTTTTGATTTACAAAATTTAGTATAATTATGTAATTTTCTTTTGTGTGCAAGCAGGCTTGGCATTGAACTCCCACAAAATGATGAGTCACAGGGAGCTGGTTATTTCCTTGAGAACAGCAAGAAGCGAGTGAAAATCATCTTTTGAATTCGAGAGCCCAGGGGTGCCGTGCATGGATCTCATTTTACAGAGGGACCCGTGGCAAAAAGTTCACCCTGCTGCTTGAAGGAGGTGAGCTCTGGAGCACCTGGAGGCGTGGCAGTGGGGAAATCTCCTTCCCTGGGATGGGAGGATGCTCTCAGTCCCAGCAGAATTCCCTCCAGCCAGGATTTCATTTCCCTGCCAGGCTGTTTGCCGTGGAGGAGCTGTGAGAGCGTGTTTGGCTTTATTGTGCACTGTGAGAGGTGAACATATTGTAGGCACTTAACAGGTTCCTTCTCTCAGCCTGGGTAGAAATGGAGAGCTCAGGAAATCCAGTGTTGCCCAACTGAGTGCGGGTGTGGATGGAGAAATGTGTGCTGCAGTAGGAGCAGGCACACCCTTAATCCAGGCTTTAATCACTGAGACTGTGCTCCTGAACAGAAAATTGCTCATCTCGCTGATTTTAGCCCACAAAACCTTTTGGATTACATCCCAGTTTTGTCTACCTCCAAGAAAATGCTATTAAATTGCTTACAAATAATCTTTGGGATTCCTTTTGGTTTTCAAAGTCCTTTTTACTGCTCAATTCATGAGTGAGAGGCGCTTTGTCACACTGTGAAAGTGCAGTGCTCTACCAGGAACAGGGATTCCATTGTAAAAAGGCACTTTGGATTAAGCAGTACCTTTTTTATTTTTTCAGAACGGCAACTATTTCTTCACAGGTTTTGTTTTATATGAATAATTATTAGAATTAAGTTCCTTTAAAAACCCACAAGCATACGTCAGTGGTGCCCAGTGACAGGACGAGCAGCAGTGCCCATAAAGCTCGATGCAAAAAATCTAATTTAAATACAGGAAAATCAACTTTTTGGTAGTTAAGGTGGTGCAGTAGGTTTGTGACAGGATGAGAAAAGGAATTCTTGGAGACAGTAAAAAGCAGACTGGCCCAAGGCCCTTGAGTGGAGCCTGCTCTGAGCAGGGGTGGGAGCAGCTGAGCTCAGGAGGTTCCACCCTCAAGGATTCTCTGATAAATATTAATCAGCAAAAGGGATTGTTCCCTGTTTTCAGAGAAAGGAAGTTCTAATTAATGCACTTTTTTCAAAATGAATTATGCCTCTGCTAACACAGTCTTTAGAGCAGGAATCTATATTATAACTCATTTTTCCCCCTGGATTCTGACTCTGGCAAGGACTTGTTGTGCCATCTCTCTTCATTAAGTGTTCACAGGAGCAAAGCCAGTGCCTTTGCAGGACATGTGCCCTGTGACTGGAGACACATTCACGGGGAATCAGGCATATTAAATCTGATTAATTCCATATTTGTTTTATATGCGGATATAAAAACTGCCTCATTCATTTCCAGGTAGTCTTGAAACGTAAATTTTAAGGAATTTAGAAATTTTAGAGGAGGACAAACACATTTTTCCTTGGATACTTCTCAAATCTCTTGGTCAGAGATTTACCAGCACAAACAGAAATGCTGAAAACAGGTAAGGGCAGTTACCTGCTTCCCTAGGAGAGGGGAAAAAATAAACCAAATTCTGTTTCAAGAATTTGTTTTCTCATAAATTTGTTTTTTCCCAAATGGTGAATAAAACTAACTTGTCATAGGCAGAAAACTTAAAGAAAAAATAATTGTGGTAATTATCCTTTCACTTTTCTCTGCATGAGGGTGGTTGCTTGAAGAGATGAAAATTTCATTATAGACTTAAAGTCAACAAAAAATTCTTTGTCTAAAGCAGGTACAGGTTTATTCTGATTTTACAGCTAGTAAAGGTTCTACTAACTGAAAATGGAAATATAAAGGTAAATAGAGGGAAAGTTAAATGCAAATTTTATAACAACTCAAAAAAGGTGATCTTCCACTTCTTTATTAACATGTATTCTAATTTAGATGGCTGGAGTGTTGTGAGTAATCCATTGCTATGAAACATCATTTCTAATACAGCACTTAACACATCTTGTGTGAAGTATCTATTATTAGCAGATTGTTGATTTCTAAAGAGCAGAAAAAACCATAAAAATCAGAAGTGAGATAAAGGATGAAATTTCACTTTTGTAAGTAGTTTTTAAGGAGACAAAAGAAACCACGGAAACTTTTAGCAATTATTATTCTTAATGGGATGCCATTATTATAGAAATTCTTAAGGGGATAAATCTAGAGGTCAGGTTTAAAAACACAGAGTAACAGCACGATATGAAAAACAAAATGTCACATTTGAGAGCTCCTCCAGCACTATTTTGGCACAGTATCAGCCATTCTCAGACATTCTGCTCAAGCAGCAGTCAAGGTCACCCAGCACAAATCCCATTTCTCAGAACCCTGGGCTGGGCTGGGGCTCTGCTGGCTTTGGGGGAGCCCAGCAGTGAAAGAGAAGCAGAATTTCCCCTCCCAGAGCCCACAGAGACAAAGCTGCACTGCACCTGCACTTCACTCTCAATTTTTCTGCTTTTTAAAAAAATGTTATTTCATCTTTTACAAACTCCAGGTTGTTTTTCTCCTGGGGATGAGCCACCTTGAGAACCCAAAATGTTCCTAAATGGGAGACAAAAGCAGGTGGACAGGGATATGATGCTGGCCAAAGCTTGTTGTCCTTGGACATGAAATGAGTACACAGAAGCTTGGTGAGTTCAAGAGAGAAAAAGAGCTAATTTTATTTTTGACTTTGTAATATATATAATTTTAAAAGTGCCAGTGGATTGGAGGATGAAGTCACGACGTCTCCAACCACACTGGTCAAACCAAGTCCATCAATTCTCTCCTCCCACAAAGAAGAATGCAAAACCATCATTATTTATATGAACACGTGTGAGAACTCCAGAAATATGTAAACATTAGAAGGTATAGGAAACTTTTAAAAGAACTTTAAAACTTTCAGGAGAACTGCAAAAGAAAACTTTAAACTTTTAAAAGTCAGGGCAACAAAAGCTCGGTGGCTCTGCCCTGAGAGCAGGCTGGCATCTGCTGGGTGGGGTGGCAGGGTTATTCCAGTTGTGCTTCTGGTTTGTTAATTTGAGATTTTGCTACTTTGGGGATTTTTTTGGTTAATTGTATTAATGAGCATGGTGGGTTTTGTGTTGGTTAATTATTAGTGCACTCAGTTCTTGTTGTGAGATAGGATCAGGAGAAAAGGAAAAGAGGTTTAAAATTTTAGAAGGTTATAAAGAAAATTTGCTAACAGTAACTAAAAGAAAGAGTAATAAGAATTGGAATTAAACCTTTAGGGCACTTCTCTTTTTGCTATAACTTTTTAATTTTTATTGAAAATGTAAAGAAACAAAATGTAAATTTGTTTTTAATATTTTTGTTTTTTGAGTTTTTTTGTTTTTGAATTTATGTATTTGTTGTGTTAGAGTTGTAGCAGATTTTTTACTTTTTTAAAAATTTTTTTTATATAATGATGTAGGAAGAATTATAGCTCAGCTCATAGGATGTATTTTTTTTTTTTGTTTGGGGGATCTCTGTGTTTGGTATTAGAATATTTGATTATATTGTTGAGATTTGGAGAAAGCTTTTTAAAATGTTTTTTAGTTTTTTGTGATTATTTTTTTCAATTTTATTTTTCAATTTTTGTAGGTGTGTTTTTATAGTTGTAATTTTTGTATGGTTGGGTTATGCATAGTATTTGTATATATTTGGAGGTTTTTGATATATTAAATATAAATATATTTTATATATATATACTAAATATTTATATTTACCAAATATATTTATATTTTATATAAAAGTATCGAATATTAAATATATTTGATATATATTTTGGTTTTTAGTTTTACCAAAGCTCTGCATTCTGATGTGAATGTCCATTTAGTAATGGCCAGTTCTGAATGAATTGCAGCCATGAAAAATGGGGGGTTTATGTCAGATATCTCCACACCTCTTTAATTTCAGTTCCTGAGAGTCAATCTTCAATCTTGCACCGTGGTCAGGGCACTGAAGCCCTGCATAATTCACAGCCTCCTTTTGATAGACAGGACAGATTATTAGCTTCTTCTTTCTTTTTTTTTTTTCCCTAATTTTTCATTCTTTCAGAATAGCTCTGCTTTTGAAGGCAGAACCAGGAAGTTTTTCTGAGGACAGCTACAACAGATTGTATAGAAATACTTTTTCCAAGACTTGCTTACCAACAAGATTTTCCCTTTATTGTTTTCCTGAATGAATAAAGTCAGTGTTTAATATCCATTAATCATCTCCTTCTATGAGGATGTAAGTGCAATAAAGACATTTTATTCATTTATTTGTATGCTATCACTCAGATCCCCTCATTTTCAGATCATGGCTGGGTTATTCAGGGCTCTCTGCAGACCCATAACAAAGAAACAAGTGCTCCAGAGAATTTACAGTATACATGAAAGAGAAGATGAAATAACAGAGCAAGACAGACAATCAAGGTTGGGGAAGAAAAGGAAGATAAAAAATGAACAGAACTAGGCAGGAAACAAAAGTCACTCCTGACTCCTGGTAAAACAAGACACAAATGTGAATGCATGATATTTGATCAAAAATGTTCTGAGATGCACAGATGTTACTAAATTAATAAGATCTGCTTGCATTATTTCTAATTAATTACCTAATTTCACGGCCACATTTACATTTTAGGGACCAAGACTCCTTGCCTCTGTTTGCATTTCAGGCTATTTTCCATTTCTCTCAGAATTTTGAGGACTTTTGTCCTCAGGGTCTTTGTCTTACCTGGTCTGCTTCTCACTTTTGTCAGTAGTGCTCTCTGTGGACAGCTATTCTTCGGGTGTTTTTTATAATTACTGTCTGATTTTGAGAACTGATCTTTCGTGCTCTTATTACAGAGAGGCTGAGAAGTAAGTTGTATTATGCTTTAATTATATATAGAATATGCCCTTGGTCAGGACTCTACCCGACTGTCAGGTCTTTCTCTCTAAGTTGTTAACTCCAGATTCAGAACTTGTTTATTCCATTGAGAAGACCTTGACCAAAGCTGGTTTCTATCTTCAAGAAAGATAATTTTCCTGTTGTCTGACCTTCTGCACTAGAAAATGCTTAAATCTGAATTATTTCTCACTATCTAGCCTTTCCCTGTGCTCATATTTACCCCTACAGTCACATGCCCTACACTTACAGGTTTATGGAATCCTTGCAACTCCAGAGGAAAACACGTCTCACTAAATACACAGCAATTAATTCCCATTTCAGGGCTGTAATGGCTCCTGTTCTTTGGTGATTTGTCACTTCAGCCCCTGGTGGGCACAGCAGAACCTGGTGTTGGAACGTCCTGGAATTCCCTCCCCACCTGTGCTAAGGGCACACGGCTCTGCTGATGGATGTCCCGTGCTCTGAGCACTGATGTGCCATTAATCACATTAAGAAATAGCCCTAACAAGCCATAATTTAAAAGCAAGACTGTGTTACCAGCTCTCTTTTTAGTAAAAGTGAAGCAGTCCATTAATAGCTCTGAATCTGGGGTGCAGGAACATCTGGGTGTCCTTGCCCAGGCATGCTGCCCATGCCAGGGATCTGAGCTGGGAATGGGACAGAATTCCCGGCATGGCCAGGAACCCCCTTGAACTCTGCCAGAGCTGGGGCAAATTGCTGAGCCCTCATCCTCATCTCCTCCTTCTGTGAGCAGAATCAGAAACTGCTTGGCATCCAACCTCAAGGACTCCAGGAATCCCACCCACAGCTGGAGCTATCCCCCCAACAGCCACCCCGAAACTGTCACTACCAGGAGCTGCATTATTTAAAAAAGTGACTGCAAGCAAGAGATAGAATTAGCATAATCTGTTATTTAAAAGCTACACCTGCTATTAAAGTTATAAAGAAATGAAATCTTAGCTGAAATCATCTTTGTAATTTACTAACACTCATTTCCATACAATTTTGTCAGAACAGCACAAACTTGGTATTGACACAACCTGAGCCTTCGAAGTTGGGCTCAGCTTATGCAGTTTTCCTGTCTGTGAGACTGACACTGATTTTCTCAGATTTCCTACAGATTTTCCACTTAACTCTCAGTGCTTTATAACCAGTTTTGAGCAGGTGAGACTGGCGAGAAACAATTCCCCCTGTTGCTGAGCACAGATCCTGAGTGAGCACCTACCACTGCCATCAGATGAATGCAGAGGGCTGAAAACACATTTGGGTGCTGCTCTGTGCAGCGTTGTGGGAGGGGAATGTTGTTCCTCTGACTTGGCTCAAGTCTGACTTGGCTCACATTCAACTCCCTGAGCACAGCACCCCCAAGTCCTTCCCTCAGTGCTGGAATTTACCCAGGACCTGGTGGACCTCCACATGCTTCCTTGTTTATATTTGAATTTTAAAAAAGCCAAGCATCTGCACCAGTTCACCTTGAATGGCCTTCTAAGAACTATTCTAGAAAGTCAAACCCTAACTTTTTACAGTTCCTCTTTTCAAGTAGGAGAAAAAAGACAGAAATATCACATTCCATGAGGAAAAAATAGGAACTAAAATTGCAAAGGTCACTTTTCACTTGTAACTTCAAAGATCTGTTATCTCAGGTGTTGGAATGTCGAAATTCTTTTATTCACTGAGGTGCCACCTTTCCTTGGGCTTGTGAAAATTCTCCTACAGCTACACACATTTAATGAGAAGTAAACAGGTTTTTAAAGCCCTGGACTCTGCAGGAGCCAGTGCAGGTAGAAACATTAATTGTTTTAATATTCCGGTGTTTATTTCAGGGCATTCTAGCAGTAAAAACTTTCCCGTTCATACACTCTTCAGTGAAACTGTGCAAGTCCAGAACAAGTCACAGATGTGTTAAATAATAGTTTAAGCTTCTTAATTTTGTCTTAGCTGACAGGTGAGGGACTGTGCAGGTGAGATCCCACCTGAGGCCATTCCTTGGAGCCCCGTGCTGGGGCAGCACCATGGGCTGGCAGAGCAGCAGGGGTGGCATTGGGGGCACTGCCCTGCTCCTTGTCCCCTCCAGGACATGCCTGGGGCTGCAGAGCTCCCATGTGGGAATCCAGGACATCCCTCTGACTGCCCTGGGACCCTGGCAGGGGTCAGGAACCCCCCTGGACAGAGCCCCCAGAGACACTGTCTGTGATCTCTGCCCATGGAAAAGAGTTTTCAATCTTACAGGATGAATTACAAGCTCTGACTGTTTGATATCAGTAATAATTAAGTGTGGCACAGGTGCAAAAGTAAAATTTTAGGATTCTAGATTAGGGGTCCAAAGGGGACAAGATGGAGGAAATTGGGTGTGCCTTGTCCTTTTTCTCCTCCTTCATGCCCTCCATGTTTGTACCATCCCACTGAGGGCAGAGCCCCACACGCTGCCCTGCAGGACAGAGCTGCGGCAGGGCAGCAGAACATGTTAGAGATAAACAGAATAAACAACCTTGAAACCAGCACAGACCAATTATGGTTCTGCTTTGGCAGCAGGGCTGAAAGACAGAGACTTTCTACAGTCTCAGGATCATCAATAGCACAGATTCCGACGCTCCCAGGGAATCCCTGAGCAGGGATGGGGACCAGGCTCGGCTGCTCTCTGTGTGCAAAGGCACATCCTGGCTCCACCTGCCTTCCCCCAGCACTGCCAGCTGGGGAGAACAAGGAGAGGCAATTTCAGTGCTCAGAGGGACGATTTGAGCCTTTCCCAGCCAACCACAGAACTGGGTTCAAACCTGCTAAAATCTGAGTTTGGAAGCGCTGGTTTATCTGTTTGTGTGTAGGGGTGCTATAAAAAGCACATCACCATGGCATCCCAGCTCTTTCCAATTAAAGAAAACCATTCCTACCATTTACTTAGCAGCTCTGACAATAGCCTGCAGCAGCAGTAAAACAACTTGACTGCCTGGCATTTTACAAGATAAATTCTTCACTACACTCTGTTTTTTCTTGCACTGTTGCTTGCAAAGACTTAAAAAGTTACTGCTTCTCCAACGACTGGGACTGGTGTTGTTGCACTCATTTGAGCTATGGATCACTGGCTACACTTTGTGCCTTCACATGCCACTTTGAGAAAAATCAATTCTAGTCTTGAAGAGCTCAAACTGGTGTTGCAGAAGATCAGTGCACATTTCCAGGTGCTGCAGGGCATTGGCATCTTGATGTGGATTCAACAAAACATGACATAGGTATGGTGCAAAATTGCTTGCTCTTATGCTAAGGGATCTTCTGAGAGAAATTACACAGTAAATCAGAACACTGTGAGGGCGTGCAAGGCACAGCAGCTGCAGTAAACACCTCCACGGTTTTTCACAGTCTTAGCACAAAAAAACATAATTTATGTTGCTACCTATAAATGGCTATGCTAATAAATGTTGTAGGTACAATAGGAAAGTCAGATAATATTTAATATAGAGACTAAAAATAGCACGTAACTGATGCTGAGGAAAGATGCAGTTTGATCCTAATAATGGTTGGAATTATTTAAAAAGCTTCTGTCCAGCATTAATTGTCATTTAAATGGGATATAATGTCAACACAGTTACTCTCTACCTGTGCTTAAATTTTATTTTAAATCTCTGCAGCGTTTTTACGCATCTGCAAAGCTTGAGAAAAGGATCACTTACTTTCTCTGCCCTGCTGTATTTCTACACAGAGAGAGGAGTTAATTTCTCAATCTCTGTAATTTAGCAGTGGGTGTAGCCCTGTCTGTCTGAAGGACTCAGGCTGCACTTCCACGGGATATTAACTGTGAGCACAGTGAGCACAGCCCAGAAATGCTGAGTCCAGATAAGGCATTCTGCTGAGCTCACAGGATGTTCTCTGCCAGATCATATTTCTGAACGTTTTCGAAGGAGGAACTTTATCTCCAAAGAGGTTATGCTAAATCAAGTATCATCTGTTTGTAAAAATTTAACTTCCTGCTGGGTCAGGTGCGGTGTCTCCTCCTGCAGCTGACAGAAGTCAGAGACGTTCTGGAGCAAGGATAAAGCAGAATATTCATTTCCCTGGGCACCCAGGCTCACTTGGTGCAGTCTGTGCTTCTGCCTGGAGTCCCACCAGCTGGAAGCTGCTGCTACTTCCTCTCCACACCAACAGCAATGAAATGCCATCCACAATCTGCTGGATTTCCTTACCTGGGTCCCCCCCCTCAGTCAGATGATCCAACAGAGCAGGCATAGGGGAATTCTGCTGGTCAGACTGACGGGGTGGGTCAGGTTTGGGATTGCTGACAGGGGACTGGTGGCAGCAGTGACCTCAGGCACTGCAGGGTGGTGAGCACAGAATCCCAGAATCAAAACTTCACAGAATGAACGTGTTATTGGGCACAAAGTAAGTGCACAAACATTTGAGAGGTTGAAAGGCTAAAAAAGAGAGTTTTTTATTTGAGTATCTGATATTTATAGAATTGCAGAGGTGACTGTGGATTGGAGGAGGGAATTACCACTTCTCTAGCTATATTGGTTAAACTAACAGTCTATTAATTCTTTCTTCTCGCAAAGAAGAATGCAAAACTATTATTAATTACATCAACACTGCGTGAGAACTCTAGTAGAAATATGTAAATAGATTAGAAGGCTGAAGAAATTTTATGAGAACTTTAAGACATTTAAAAGGACTATTAAAAAAACTTAACACTTTTAAAAATCAGGGCAACATGATCTAGGTTGGAAAAGACCTTCAAGATCCCCCAGTCCAACCTGTGACCTGAGATTATTGCACCAGCCTTGCCTTACCTGGAGAAGGAGGAGTGAAAACTGATAAACTGATAAATTGGGTGTGGATCCCAAACAAACAGAGCTTGGAGCTCTCCATTTCCCAGTGGAAGCAACAAGTACACAGCCAACTGCAGGCTCAGGAGCAAAAGCAAAAGAACAGCAAGGGAGGTTGAGCAGGCAGACTTCTCAAAGGATTTACTCCTCTTTTCTTTTTTTTCTGTGCAGCTTTTCAGAAGATACAGTTAAACAAGCAGGTGAGGTATTGAAATACACTCTGCATTCTTCCCACAACAAATATGGATTTGTGCAGACATAGTCAAAACTTCCCTGCTCATGCCAGCTTTGTTTGTGCTCTGTTTGGAAGAGAAAAGCAGATGAAATTCACTGCCAGATATCAGCTCTCTAGAACAAACTGGATAAAGGAGTTGTAAAATAAGACTGAATTAAGAAATTCCAAATCTATGACTCAACTTGATCATAAACCAAGTCTTCACTGAAATATGAAAACCAAACAAGGATGTTTAAAGTGCTTCATTATGCAAATTCTGGATTTTTTTCTTATTGTTTCCTTTAAAAAACAGATGGTGATGGTGAGGAGGATTTTGCAACAAATGATTTTGACATTTACACATTCTACTGAATGCTACTGGACACTTGTAATTTATTGTAATGATTTATGAGTAAAGAAGCCTAACAGTGTTGAAGTGCTGATATATTTTCTGTGATTCTGGCAAAGATTTTCTAAACAATAATGTTCTCCTTTTGTAATTCCAGGTTTTTACAGCACATAGAACATTTACATTTTTTCCTACAGGGGAAATTTCTCAATGACATCACCTTCAATTTATCTTCATTTTCTTGAGAATACCTTTGTAAAAACAAATCGGTTTTTACATTTCTAATTTTATGATACTCCAGTTACACATCATTTGTATCACAAGTGCATCAGGAAACATCTACTTATCCAGAATATTGTCAGGATATCCAGTCTTGCTCGAATTCCCTTCTAGCGGGAGAAAGGATTCTGTAGGCACCAAATACACTCAATACAGTTCATTTCAAGTAAACCTGAAGGAAAAAATCACTTTATCTTGGAGGGGGTGCTGTTGTTCCATTTTTGTTAACAAGAGTGTTAACTAAAATCAGGAGCCTGGTTGATAAATTAGAACATCAGAGGAATAAAAAGGAACTTTGGGCAATGT